GCATTTTACTTGGCATCTGAAAATACATTTCCTCAAAGGTATTTTTAATCTCAAAAGAGCTTCATTGATTTAAGCTAGATTTAATTTTATTATTCAGTTGTATTATCATAGAAACAGGGTTATGGTCTGAAATATTAAGGGCCAATTTTGCATTTTTCTGCCCTGTGCAGATCTTTTTTGAGTAAAAAAAATAATCGATACGAGAGTAAAGTTTGTGTGCATGCGAATAATATGTGTAATTTTGTTCTGTTGGTTTACTTCCCTCCAAACATCCACTATTCCTAGTTCATTCAGTAATGTATTAAGTTTTTTGTGAGTGTTTTGGACTCTGAATTTTTTGTTAGTTGAGTCCAGTCTTGGGTTCAAACAGATATTAAAATCCCCGGCACATATTACAGTYCCCTGGCATTTTGCTGTCATAGTTTCAAATATGTYTTTGTAGAWAGACCAATCACTGCCAGGTGGAACATAAACATTTAAGAGACTTACTAAATTYCCATCTAATTTTCCCACTGTCATGACGTATCGGCCTTCTTTACCTTTGTATTCGTGCATATGCTCATAGTTGGCAGATCTGGATTTTAATATCGCCACCCCCCTATGCCTTCCAGATWTGTGTGAAGAGTAGTATATATGTTTGTAGCCCATTCTGTTCAATTTACCATGATCTGCACTGTCCAGATGGGTCTCCTGAAGGAATGCTACATGAACATTTTCTTTCTTCAATTTGGAAAAAATCTTACTCCTCTTAATTGGATTCAGTGCCCCATTTATATTGAAAGATATTAGTTTGATAATATTAATTTATTGGATATCATCCAAGCTTGTCTATCCTTCGTAGCTCAAAAGGACCATGCACGTCCCTCCACCCCATCAGGAACAAACAAGGGTAAAGCAGTGAACACACCACATGAAACGAGTTAACACGCATAGAAAAAAATCAGAAGCAGATAAAAAAATAATACATAAAAGAAAATATAAACAACCTATTAAGGATAAAAGAACTTCCTAGGTAGGGGTCTAACGAACAAAAGACCCTAAAATGCCTAAAAAAAGAGGCTCTAAGAGAAGTGTTGCACAAGCACAAAAATAAAAAAAAACAGCAACAAAACCATCCTCTAAAAAATTATAGGAGGGGCCCTTATGAGAGTGGCAAAGCAGTGGAGGTGGAAAAAATAAAATAAAATAAAATCCCTCCCAACATGGAACCTAAATAACTCAGAAAACATTTCTACTAGTCATTATTAATTATTTATATGTGTATACACACATTCATACATATGTACACATTCATACACATACACTGTGTAACCATACTTGCACACACATTTACACATGTACATATCCATACACACTCAGACATAACAACCCAGTAATTATTTAGATTAGTTTTATCAGGAATTCAAAGATTTAATAGCAAAGAGGGCGTGGTTGTTTAGTTATGCTTTTAGATTATACATTACTCTTATAAAGCTCTCTCTACTCTTCACAGGTACATTTTAACACATGAGTAGGTACAAACACMAGTTTACCTGTACCCATCCTCCTCACATTTGTTTAATTTCACGTGTTTATWTGTACTCATATAATAGTGTAACAACTAATATTTATTTAGTTTAAATATAAATTAGGTTAATGAAGTACAGCAGTTATTAATACTTAAGTAAACCTGTGTGGCAGTAGAACAGAAAAAGAATGAAAGTGAGGATACTTTACGTACACAAAGATGTGTATTCAGCACCTGCACCCGCACTAGTTCATTAGTGTGTTGATTGTGTTGGAGAMGTTCGTCTGAAGGCACGCAGCTTTTCTTTGTAGATGTGGCTGGGTCCGGTCTTCGATGGGTTCTTCTTCGCTCTTGATTCCACTTTTTTCCAAGCAAACTGCTGAATTTGTTCCATCATTGTTTCTGGGGGGTTAACCACATTAATGGAGAAGCCTCTGTTGATCAGATCTTCGGATGCCTCCTCGACTGTGTTATAGACATGTGCTCCATCTTTGTACTTCACCCGCAGTCTGGCAGGAAAGAGAGTCTGGAACTGGATCTGATTTTCTTTCAAAACTCTCCTAATYTCCGCATATTCTCTTCGCTTTTTAATGATAAGGTATGGATAGTCGTGGTCGAGATTTATGTTGTGGTTTTTCCAAGTGAAACCTTACCCCGCCAGGTGGTACGGAGTTTCATTTCTTTGGTTTTAAAGCTTAGAAACTTGACAATTATGGAACGTGGCGGAGCACCGTCTGGTGGTTTTGGTCCCGCCGAGCGGTGCACTCTTTCGATTAGCAGGTCTGGTTCACCCTCAGCTAGGCTCAGGCCGTCGTGAAGCAGACCCTCCACAAAGACAATGTCTGCGATTCCTTCTCTGCCTCCTCAGGTACGCCGAAGATCCGAACGTTTTCACGTCTTGTTCGGCTTTCCAGGTCCGTCAACCCTTCTTCCATTCTCTGGTTTAGCTTTAGCATCTCCATCATTACTTCCTCAAAGGTTTGGATTTTCTCTTCCACTCCTTCAATTCTATCTTCAGCTTCGTCCATCCTGGCATTTATCTTGGTGATCTCCTCTTTGATGGCCTCTAGCTGTCCTTTATTTTCTTGGCGGAAACCTTTTATTTCTTGCAATATCACGTCCAGATCYGCCATTTCTCCTCGCGTTAGCTTGATTGTAGTCACACGTTAGCTTCAACTGCTATCCGGGTTGTTCGAGTTGTGCGCTTCAGCAGTTTGCTTCTTAGTCAATATTTTGGTAGAAAAGTAACTCCCTTTATGTGTTAACTCAACAAACTCATTTATTTCTTGCTTAATATGGGAGTATTTTAACAAATTCTCAGGTTCTGTCGGGAGCCTTTCACTTACGCTGCCATCTTGTTGGTGTTCCGACTGGAAGTCCAAATCAGTGACTATTTTGAGAAAAATTGTGGAATTTTTTTTACAAAACTTTGAACATGATTGTGAGCTTGTGTGACTTACACAAGAAAACTGAGAACTTCTGTAAACAACTCAAGACCCTGGAGAATCCCCCTCAAATACTGTTTGCCAACTAAACACTAGCAGTCACAGTCTTGCAAGGTACTACCTTTAGGTGCTTTACCATGAAGTAAAAGCTTCCAGTACTCTTCCTTTTCTCTATTTTACAGCCTTTGAAGACCACAAAAGAACGATAACTTAGTGTAACAGTTTGACAATGAATGTTTTCATTCATGTACTTCAACAACATGTGAAATAACAGTACCAAATACTACCCATCAGCATTTTGCTCCACAAACTGCACACATTTCTTATTCAACATCTAGTATTCTCTATAGACCTGGGGTTAAAATGGAATAAACTGCATCAAACATTTAAACCCAAGCCTTTTAACCATTCACACAAAGCCAAAGCAGCAGCAGCAGCAGAAGGAGCAGCAGCAGAAGGAAGACAGAATTTTGGGTCAGGTTCAGTTTAGTTGCAATGATTTTTTTGTTTCTTTTTATTTGTCTTGGAAACTCACTGAATCTGGATCTTCTTTCCATTTCTACATCTTTACAACTGCTCTGAACGTAACCCTAGAAAACATATTTTCAGAAAAATCAGAAGATATATTGAAAGTAGAAAAAAGCAGGAAGCAAAGCATGCTGGGATGACTCACACATGGCCATACCAGACTGAGAATGTCTGCTGGAAGCCTCCGTTGTAGCTGGCCTCCCAGGACACGTTGGCCCAGGTGGAGGAGGCCACCACCAGGACGTTGGTGGGGGCYTGGGGGCTTGTGCCTGAATTGAGTAAAAGCTGTTGTTAAAAGGTTGTATTAGTCACTGAGAGGCTTTGCTATAGAATAGTTTATATATACAGTATATACAGCGGGTAAAATAAGTACAGAACACGTAACCATTTTCCTCAGTAAATATATTACTAGAGGTGCTAATGATATGAAATTTTCAACAGATGTCGGTAACAACCCAAGTGATCCATACATACAAAGAAATCAAACCTCCAGAAATGAAGTTTTTTGTAATAATGTGGAATGGCACAGGGAAAAAGTATTGAACACTTACTGAAATTTATCTAATAC